TGCAACACGTTGGTGGGCGGCCCGTCGGGGAGCGGAAAATCGACGTGGACGCGCCGTTTGTTACAGCACGCCGATCAATTGATGCACCCCCCTCCTCGGGTGAAACATTATTGTTACGGGGCCTGGCAACAGGCCTTTGACGAGATGAAACAAGAGAAGGTGCAGTTTCACGAAGGACTGCCCACGTCGGAGGAGTTGGACCAATGGTTCGGTCCCACGCAAGGGGGACTCTTGGTGTTGGACGATCTCATGGACGAAGGCGCCTACGACAAACGCGTGTTGGATCTCTTTTCCAAGCACTCGCATCATCGGAACATCAGTGTCCTCTTCTTGTGCCAGGATCTATTCCCGCCCGGCAAATTCGCCAAAACCATTTCGCGCAACGCCCATTCCATCGTGGCGTTCAAGAACCCGCGGGATCAAGTAGGCATGCGCACCTTGGCGCTGCAAGCCTTTCCCAACGACTGGTCGCACGTGATGAACATCTTTCGCGAATGCACCAAGCGCCCTTTTGGCTATTTAATGCTGCACTTGCATCCCGCGTCAGACGATCGGTACCGTCTCTTCACCAACGTGTTACCGGAAGAAGGACCGACGGAAACCTATGAACGTCAAGCATGAGTCGACGGACCACGCCCTCGTCCGACGAGTTTCGGGACGATCTGGATTACGACCAATTGACCTGGGAGAATGAACTGGCTCGAGAACGGGCGCGACAACAGCGGAGACGCCAGGGAGGTCGGCAACGGGACTTATCGGAACGCTTGGAAGGGCACACCACGCCCTTGTCGGTTGGTGTCGGACGAAACCCCCTCCTCACGCCCCGTGCGGTGCGAGATGCCTTGCAACAAGCCATGGACCTCTCGGGCATCCCCACGGCCCCGCCGGCCGGGGTGGGCGTGGCGCCCAATGTCTCGTCACCGAGTTCGGGCATGCCCAGCGTGACGGCCATCCGGGCCGCGGAGCAGGATTTACCCTAGCCCAGTTTTAGTCCCCGACAAATCGAGATGGAACGGATTACCCGAGGAGATTTTCTGGCCGGGCAGAACGATGCGATGTTGGAGTCCGTGGGTCTCGACAACAATCAATTGACCGATTATATCGTCAGCCGTCCCATGACACCTCCGTCACCACCACCCCCGGCACCGCGAGGGCGCGGTCGACCCCCGCCCCGGGGTCGAGGCCGGGGACGAGGTCGGGGACGTGGCGGGGTGCCACCCGGAGGGGGTGGCGGAGACGATGGAAGTCCGCCCGGGGGCGGTGGCGGGGGACGTCGTGGCCGTGGCCGTGGACGTCGCCGCGGCACACCCCTTCGACGAGCACGGATGAATCAAGACGAATTACGACGTCAGATGGATCTGTTGGCCGAAGATGCTCGTCAACGGTCGGTGGGGCGCCGTATTGCCGGCATCAGCCATACCAATACCGTCACCACGGTCTACAAGGATGGAGGCGATCCCGAAGTCTATCGCACCTCATCGCGTTTGTCTACCCCCAACACGGTTTAAAAAAGCCCGGAGACGTCCTGGCACGGCCAGAGTCAAGATGCCTCGACGCCAACGACGCAGCCGACGCCGTCGACGACCCTCGCAACGAGGCGGCGTTTCGCCGGGACTCATCACGGGTATTTTCAAGACGGCCCATAAGACCACCAAAGCCATCGGGGAGCGTCAAGAGAAAAGAGCCAAAGAGATTAGCCGAAAACGACGAGCCGAGGTGGAGAGTGGCAAGCGCAAAAAGTACGCGGGCGAATTGTTCAACTGCAATATCATGTGAGCCTATATAAAACGTAGACCCCCCGGAAACCCCGTGACAAGCATGGGACGACAACGCCGACGACACCGACGCCGACGCCGACGCCAACGAGGAGGCATCATTCCTCTGCTTTTGATCGCCGGCAAAGCCATCGCCTCGTCGGCCTTGAGCACTGGCCTGAAATACGGGGCCAAGAAAGCCTTGGAAAAAAAAAAAAAAAAATACCCCGTCCTAATATGACGTTCGAGGAAGAGCGAGGCATCCGTCGAGCCTTGGGCCTACTATAAAAACAGAATCCGTGTCTGCCCTTGTTCCCATTTCACAGCATGGTCCGACGCGGACGAAGGCGAAGGAGACGACACTACCAACGAGGAGGAATTTTCCCTTTGCTCGTGCCTCTGGCCATTGCTGCCGGCAAGGCCATTGCGGCCGGGGCGGTGAGTGGCGCGGCCGGGTACGGGGCCAAGAAAGGCTTGGAGGCCGCCACGCGCAAGAAACGCGTGGGTAAAATCTCTTGGGAGCAGGCGAAGGCCAACGAGCGCCTGGTTCGCAACATGCGCAACCGATGGATGAAGATGGCCGGGGTCAAGTAAGCTATAAAGACCCCCTCGAACGTGTGTCCCAGGGAACACGACACCATGGTGCGACGCCTACAACGACAACTGCCCTTTTTGCGGAGCGTGTTGCGAGAAGCCGACCAGAACGTGAGACGGGAACGATATCAGCATGCCAATGCCGATCAAGTCAATGCCATCAGTGAGTTGGTGATGAACACCTTGAAAGGAAACGTGGCGGTCCCCCCTCGACTCTTGGATCAATTGCGTCCGCACAAGTGCGCGTTGCGCGAGATGGCGCGTCGCAAACATTCCATAAAACGGCGACGGTACGTCATGATGGCTCAAACAGTGGCGGGTGTGTGGCACGCCTTGGATCGCGTGTGTCGTCATTGCCTGACAGGATGAGTCACGGACCGTACCAGAAAAAGTACCTGGTGTCCCCGGCGGACATGGAGCGACTGGTGGAACAATACAAGGGCACGTTGATGGAGAATTCGCGGTTGGCCGCCAAACAACACGTCTTGTTGGCCTCCCCCGAGATTCCGCCGGCTACCAAGAAGATCCGCGTCAAGGCCCTGGGACCCGAAGTGCGTCGAGCCACCAGACGCGTGCGGACCATAAACTTGCCGGCGGCCGGAGGGGCGGCGGGAGCGGGCGACGACGCCGAGTTTGCTCAAGGACCCATGGAGACCTTGAAAACTCTTATAAAAAGCAGCACGCCCCAACCCAAGGCCACACCCAAGGCCACACCTAAACGCAACCCGAAAGTCCCACCCAAGCCGACCTTCTCGTCCCCGTTACCGACCGAAGATTGGGAACAGGAATAGGCGTTGCCCATTCCCAGCACCTCCAAGAGCAAAGGCACTCCGACCTTGGGCAAAGGCAAGTCGCCTCTCTCTGTCTCAAGGCCCCCCTTGACCGTCAAGAAACCCAGTCGATTTGGGCAGGCCGCCAAAGAGGGTAAGAAACTGGCCAAGGAAGTGTTCAAGTTGAAACGTCAACCCGGGTGGAGTGAGTGGGGAGAAAAAGTCCAGCGGAAACTCGATGGCAAGGACTACTAGACGCCGCCGCCGGCGCGTGTTGCGCCGTGGTTACCGCCGCCGTCGCATGATCGGTCGAGGGTTGGACATCCAAAAATGGTTAAACAAGACAGGCATCGAATTTCATTGGCCGGGGTATCAATACATGGGCCCAGGTACCCATTTGGAGAAACGACTGAAGCGCGGGGATCCCGGCATCAACCGGTTGGACCGCATTGCCAAACAACACGACATTGATTATTCTCGGGCGCGCACGATCCAGGACAAGTGGAAAGCCGACGACAAGATGATTCGCGCCATTCAAACCCTCCCGGGGAAAAAGACCTGGACCGAAGGCATCGTCAAAAAAATAATGCAAGCGAAACGTAAATTAAAACTGTAACCAAACATGTTTATTGTGACAAAAGACTTGTATTTTCAAAAAGGCAGAGGTTGTATAAAGTAGAGTTCTAGCGACCTAAAAAACATTACATTTCACACTATACAGTTTACATCTCAGTTTTTTTCATCGCGCCACACTTGAAGATTGTCACACTTGAAGATCGACCCTAGTTCCCGTCCTGGGCTCCTTAAGAGCATCCCTCAGCTTGCCAATCGATGGGTTCCGACCATTCGGGCGGCATCATCACGTACATGACTTCCGTGGCACTCAAACCCACATCTTTATCGGTGGGGCATTCACGTAACATGGTTTGGCACTGTTCACATCGACCGTACACTTTGAAGACGGGACGTACGTGAATATCGTCATCGGGTACAATGTCCGCTTCAGCTAACAAGATTTTCAAGAAATCGAATGATGGATAGACCTTGATTGCTGTCGGTAGAGGCAGCATCTCCTTCGTCAACCCACAACATATCATGGCCCGTAATTCGATGGGTTCTGGGGGCGGGAGGGTCTTGGTTTCCATGTTGTACTTGGTGAGGTAAGAAAAAATGCCTAACAACCGCTTGCTGATCTTGTCGGAATTGCCCGTCGTCAAACATCGGAGTGCCGGCAGTTCCTTCTTCATTAGGGTAAAATGCCACGAGGGGTTGGGTAAACAGTGGTGCGAAAACATACCATACATCCATTCGCACTGCTCCAAACTCTCGCTTTCGATACGTACACCGTCTGAAAACAAAAAAAGAGTTCAGTCCGAGTCGGGCGTTGCCGATTGACCAACCCCATAATAATGACAATTGCTCACCCACCCGCTGTGGTTGTAATACTCGGCATGGTCCAACACGGGGTGAGGGCCTCCACGCTCTCGCTGGGTCAAGAACGTGTGAACGTTGACTGGCGTCGACTGTACCAGCATAAAGACCCTACACAATAACCACACGCAATGACAAGGGCCTCGCGGCCGGGTGTAAGTATGGCGTTGAGGGTAAGGGTGAACCACTCTCTCCAACGTACCTTTTGCAATGTTGGCCCATTGGTGGATAGAACAATAACATTTGGCCTCGTTGCCTTCGATCTTCAAGTGGGACGCCATGGGAGTTAGCCGGTGTCTTATTAACAGGAACCAAACATGAACAACAAACCAGGCCGATGAATCAGATGGTACAAAAGGACGCGGCCATTCACCGACCGGTTTGCAGTGACATGAACCGGGAATCCCCCTGCTCTATATATCACCCTCTCTGGCCTGGGTCCCGGGCTCTCTCGGTCCACCCCAAAGAAGGGGGGGATGGGGGGGTATCCCCCCTCTTTGGGGGGCTTTTTTTAGAGGGGGGTCTGATGAAATGAGACCCCCTCCTCACACACCATAAAAGGCCTCTCTCACCCAGTCGACTCAAACCCAAATAGTCCTCATGCGATCTTTATTGGAATGGTGTGGCCTTTTACTTTGGATTGGTGTCTTTTGTGTGCGAGGGAACTGGTCCGAGCCGTCATCCGTACACCCTGTTGCCGCGTGCTGGTCCATAAAGCCTGTTTGTACGCCTCCTTGGCCGTCACTCCGTCCCGTCCTACACCCACAAGCCCTCACTGTCAACAAGAGTTGGGTCTGGCCCGTTTTCGACGCTTGTGTTGGCAGTTGTAGGGTAAGTGGAGTTCATGGTTGGAATGTCCCCTCGCCCCTGCACCCCCTCACGCTCATTCTAACCATGGGGTTTACTTACAGATCATGGATCCACCGCCGGCGCTACCACCGTCTTCCGGTCCTCCCGACGACGATCCGGTAAGTGCAACCCATCGGTTGAATTCTCCCGCGCCCCTAGCACCCCTTGCTTATTCTTCCTTTGTTCGTTCCACTTAGGTGCCACCACCACCACCACCACCATCGTCACCACGCCGCGACGCCAGGCCATCGGAGGTAAAACATTCTTTTTTTCGTGCACGACATGGGACTTGGGCCATGATGTGAACCTGAGCCCACGCCGGTTTGGTCGAAGACAAACCGGGTCAAGTCAGTCCCAACGCCGTTCTTCCTTGACTCAGCGGGATGTCTTGCGTGATGGAGACCTTGTGCTCCAAAGGATCCGACACCTCGTTTCACTCCGTCTCGCTTTGCTGAATTTTCCCAGGTCGTCTTCCAGTGGGCTGTGATATCTTAAGGTGGAGTCCACGTTGCTCCCTTTCCCCTGTTTTCCCTTACGGTATGGATTTCTCGTTGGCACCTGTTTTAGAAGCTGTCTCTGTTTTTTTGGTATTTTTTATTTTCTGGCCGGTTTTTTCTCATAGGAGGAGCAGGTTCGTTGACTTTCTTGGCTGTCCACTCATCCACTACCTTTTTTTCTTCGTGCTGGCCACGAACTCTCTCCCTCTCAATCCGTTTTGCGCCACTTGGGGGTACTGTCACCTTTTTTCTTGATCGTCTCCTAGCTTGGTGATCGTGTCCCTTTGACGATTCTCCTCTGGATGGCTTGACTGTCATTTAACACTGGGAAGATGACTGGCCCTTTGAAAAATGAAGGTCCAACAGCTCCCTCGACCTGTGTCCGCAGTCAAGGTTAGGGTGAACTCCTTGCCAATAACAGCCAGACGATTGATCTTTGGTGGCCTTTGAAATGATGGCGTGTTGAGTCTCTCACTCGTCCTTGATGCCATTGTCTTTGCCGAGGGGTGCATGTCCTGAGGCCTGGGAAGAACGAGTTTACAGACCC